TCCATTCCATTCCATTCCATTCCATTCCATTCCATTCCATTCCATTCTATTCTATTCTATTCTATTCTATTCTATTCTATTCTATTCTAATTCTATTCTTCATTCAATTGTTCCATTCTGTTCTGTTCTGTTCTATTCTATTCTGTATTTCAATTCTATTCTATTCTATTTTTCATCCAACTGTTCTGTTCTATTCTATTCTATTCTATTCTATTCTATTCTATTTTTCATTCAATTGTTCTATTCTGTTCTATTCTATTCTATTCTATTCTATTCTATTCTATTCTATTCTATTCTATTCTATACCATTCCTAATGGTGACATGATACCAGTATTCCAATATTAGAGGGGCTGCCACAAAGAATTTATTTTGAAGGCAGAAACAAGAAACAACGGGTGGAAACTAGTCAAAGAGAGAAGCAACTTGGAACTGAGTAGAAAGTGCCCAACAATAAGAACAATTTACCAATGGAACTCCTTGCCACCAGAAGTTTTTTGGGGCTCCATCACTGGAGGATTTTAAGAAGGGACTGGACAGCCATTTGTCTGGAATGGTAGAGGGTCTCCTGCTTGAGCAGGGGGTTGGACTAGAAGACCTCCATGGGTCCCTTCCACCTCCGTTATTCTGAAGTGAGGACCTTCCAGAGCTGAGGGCAGAGAAGAGGCAGCTCAGGGTGTCTGTAGGAGGAAACGGGCCTCTCCAAAGAAGGCGATTTGCATCCTGGGCCAAAGGCAACACACGAATTCTCCAAAGCCCAGAGCACATATGCGCTTTTCTACATGCTCCTGGCAGTGAGCAAAGAGGGTACAACAAGTGTGCCCTTGTGTGGCTCCCTACACACACACACACACACACACACATGCAAGGTCAGGCCGCTATTGGCACTCGTGAAAAGGGAGGCGCCCGGCTGATGATCGGCATGTGTCTCCAGGCTTGGCTTTGCGGCTTCTTCCAACGCCCCCAGAGCAGCCCATGGGGCCCGGGATGTGGGTCCTGCTCGGCCTCCGGCCTGCCGCACAGGCGCGAAGGTCAGCAGGTTCAGCGCACGGTCAGTGAGCAGCAGCGTCAGGCCAGGCTGAGTGCGGGAAGTGCCAGACTGCATTAGCGCGAGAGAACATCAGGGACACAGTGACAATCCTCACCGGGGCTTCTCTGCATTCGCTGCTCACTCACCCATCGACGTGGGGCTTTGGTTGCTCCTTCTCCAAAACCCCGCTTGTCAGAAGGGGTACTTAGCCGGTTCTGACCAGTTCTGGAGAACCGGTAGCGGGGATTTTGAGTAGCAGTTGGGAGAACCGACCCATCCCACCTCTGACTGGCCCCGCCAGCTCCCTCTAATTTTCTGCCTCCTATTGAGTCCCGGCTGATCGGCTGGGTCTCCTTTGGTTGCCCTGCCCAGGAGAACGGAGCTGGAAAGCAGGTGAGTGGGGGTGGGGAGGGAAGGAGGATTTTTGCAGTCACCTTCCTCTGCCACGCCCACCAAGCCACGCCCACAGAACCGGTAGTAAAAAAAAAAAGTGGAATCCCACCACTGCCGTCAATCAAGGAATTCCCACTGGAGGGATGTGGGACAGGGGTTTTCCAACCTTGGCAACTTAAGCCTGGAGGACTTCAACTCCCAGAATTCCCCAGCCAGCTTTGAATTCTGGGAATTGATGTCCTCCAGGCTTAAAGCTGCCAAGGTTGGAGGCCCCCGGTCTAGGAGAAAGGCCTTCTCTTCCATGGCTTGATTGCAGGAAATACGACTTCAGCAACAGAGCGGTCAATGTCTGGAATCCTCTACAGGACTCTGTGGTTTCTTCCCCAAACCCCAAAAACTTTAATCTTAGACTGTCTACTATTGACCTCACCCCTTTCCTAAGAGGTCTGTAGGGGGCCTGCATAAGCGCACCAATCGTGCCTACCGTCCCTGTCCTATTGCTTCTTTTATTTTTTCTTATATGTACCCATTTCATGTATTCATAACTATGTATATACTTATACCTATTATCTTGTAAGCGATTGACAAATCAAATAAATACTAAAAATACTAAAAAAATACTCGGTCTCCCAGACCTCAGCCGTCCTCACTTGCTGCCGGTGAACCACAACATAGAGTTAACTTGTGGCTAGATGGAGGGGGTGGGCAGACTCATGAGTGAATTTAATAAATAAAATGAATAAAATATTTTGACATTTGATAATCTTTGGGGGCGTCCCCGGTTTTATCGTTACTGATTTTATTTTTTTATTTTTTTACAGCAGCTGTTTGTATACAAATGTTTATTTGATTGTGGTACACCAGCCGGACTCAATTCTGGTGAAATGGGATAAATATCGTATCTTGACTGAAAAGATAAATAAATAAGAAATCCAAGGGTTGAATCTCTCACGGTGGTTTTGGGAACGGACACACACACACACCCCTGGATGGACATTGATACAGACACATCTGGACAGGGATACACGCACACAATCAACACACAACACACACCTGGATGGACACACATCTGGGCAGGGACACAGACATGCAAAAATATGGGCACACACATTTGGGTGGGGGGGACCACACACATCTGGATGGGGGCACACATCTGGATGGAACACAAACATCTGGACAGGGACACACATCTGGAAGGGGACACAATCTGGAACACATGCACCTCTGGACGGGGACCCACACACACACAAAATCTGGACACACACACACATACCTGGATGGACACAGATACGGACACATCTGGACAGGGATACACACAATCTGGACACACAACACACACCTGGATGGACACCCACATCGGAACAACCACACACAATCTGGACAGGGACACACCCACACATCTGGAAGGGGGACACACAATCTGGATACACATGCACATCTGGACGGGGACCCCCCACACAAAATCTGGACATACACACACCCACCTAGACAAACATGGACCCCCCCACAAATCTGGACACACACAGACACACACACCCCTGAAAGACACGGACACATACACACATCTGGACAGGGACACGGACACCCACAATCTGGACAGGGACACCCACACATCTGGAAGGGGACGCTCACACAATCTGGACGGACACACACACACACACACACACACCCGCCTTCTCTAAGCGCTCCCATCTCTGCCTGGGCCTCCCCCGCCTTGTTGTCTCTTATGCAGGAGAAGCTCTTTTCCAAAAGACGCCCGCGGGCGCCGGGACGGCAGAGCGAAGCGAGCGCCGTCCTGCCGCGCCACCTCCGACCGCCGGGGGCCGCTGTGAAGGAGGGAGACGGGGAGAGAGGATCCGGGGAGCGGCGGCGGCGTTGGCGTTCCAACCACTTCCGGCCTGTGCCGGAAGTGCCGGGCGGAGCCATCGCTGCCAGCCGCCGGGTGAGGCGCGGGGCGACGATGTGGTTCATGTACGCGCTGAGCTGGCTCGCGCTCTTCATCCAGGCCGCCTTCGTCACCCTCGGCATCGGTGAGCGGAGCCCTCCCCTCCCCAGGAAGACCCCGGGCGCCGCCCGCCACGACGGACTCTCGCCTCCTCCCCACGGCCGGAGCGCGATGGTCCCGCCCGCCCGACGTGGCACCGCCTCCCCCGCCCCCCCCCCCGGGCCGGCTGTGGAGCCTCCACGTCCAGGAGCAGTCTACCCTTAGGAGCAGTCTAACCCTGGCCTGATTCTTGGGTGGGCGGGGGGAGGAAGAGGGGGCGCAAAATGGACCCTAGAAGGCAGGCCGATCTACCTCGCACGGTCGTTGTTGTAAGGGAGAAAGGAGGAGGGAGGATTACATGGCTTCTTCCTCTTTCCCCCCTCTCTCTTTCTCTTTCCTTCTTTCTTTCTTTCCTTCCTTCTTTCTCTCTCTTCCTTTCCTTTCCTTTCCTTCCTTCCGCATATATATATATATGTACCTGTAAGGAAGGAAAGTAAAGAAAGGAAGAAAAAGAGTAAAAGAAGGATATATATTACACATGTAGGAACACTTAAAGTTAGAGGAATATTTTCCAGTTTCTTGTAATATTATAGATACAGAACTATAGTTGTGCAATGATAAGAGTTTTATCCTGCCTCTTCCTCGTTTCTTTTCTAAATCAGTCATTTATATAATCTATCAGTCAATCGATCTATCAGTTTATATAAGCTATCGTGATCATCTATCTATCATCTATGTATCTGCCTATCCTCTATCTATCTAAAATGTATCATCTATCAGTCCCAGGGTTTCTCAACCTTGACAACTTTAAGACGGTGGGGGGACTTCAACTCCCAGAATTCCCAAGTTCCCCAGCCAACATAGGTTGAGCATCACTGATCTGTCTGTCTCAACCATGTCGGGTTTTCTTAAGGTGGGTCGACTCATCTGAATTCTGAGAGTTGAAGTCACCCATCTTAAAAGTTGCCAAGGTTGAAAACACCTGTCTATCTCTCTGTCTCTCTATTCACCATCTATCATATCTATCTTCTCTTTCTCTCTTTCTGTCTATACATCATCTATCATATCTATCATAATTATATATCTACCTACCTACCTCTCTCTATATCCATCATCTATTATTATCATATCTGTCATCTCTATCTATCTTGGTCAATCTACTTCTGTCTCTGTATCCATCTATCATTATCATCATTATCTATGTATATATAATCATTATTATATCTATCTACCTCCCTCTCTCTATCCATTATCTATCATCATATCTATCTATCTATCTATCTATCTATCTATCTATCTATCTATCTTGATCAATCTATCTCTCTATCCATCATCTATCATAATCATTATGTATGTATGTATATAATCATTTATCTACCTACCTCTATCCATTATCTATCATCATTATCTCTGTCTATCTATGTCTATCAATCTGTCTGTGTCTGTCTGTCTGTCTTTCTATCCATCATCTATCATTATCATCATTATCATATATCTATCTACCTACCTACCTACCTCTCTATATATCCATCATCTATCATTGTCATCATCATATCTATCATCTCTATCACCTCTATCATATCTATCTATCTATCATCTATCTATCTATCTATCTATCTATCTATCTATCTATCTATCTATC